AAGTCTTGTATTCAAGTGTAGAAACTCAATTTGCACAAACTCTCTACAATTTCTTCAAGTTTCCAAGAAAACTTCAAGATGAACAACTCAATTCTCTCAATCCCTTCTCTAAGTCGGCTATGCTCTCAAGGAATGGCTGAAGAAAATGTTTTGTCTAAGTAATATGTAGGTAACCCCCCCCCCCCCCACCCTCCTACCACCACCCCCCACCACTACCCACTCGCTACCACTTACCGTCACCTGCCACTCACCCGCCACCCACCACCACCCACCACCACCACCACCATCACCATCACCCGCCACCCACCTGTCACCACCACCCACCACCCACTGCCACTACCACCCACCACCCACTGTCTACCACCCACCACCGTCACCCATCCACCCACCACCACCATCCACTCGCCACCACCAGCTACCCACCACCCACCGACATTACTTTTTACCACCGTCTTTCGCAGCTACTTGCCACCACTTGCCATTTCTCACACTTTTTTATATTTTAAATTTTTTAAAACATTTTGTTAATTACTAAACGCGTTTGTAGTTTATATTTTTTTAAAAATAAATAAAAATTAATTTATAAAATTTTTATAAATATAAACTAAAAACGTAAGCGTTTCTAAACACACCCAGCATTTAGTGATAATAGACAAGTATTTTGGATTACTAGTTTACTAGAAACTTCCTTTTAGTTTACTTGGAAACTTTGCATCCAACTACCAAGATTGATTTGACTTTGGCTTGCGCAAAAGGAGGAGCCTCGCACTTTCTTCTTCCGATAATTATGGCATCAAAAGTGCTAGATTTTAACAAAATAATAATAATAATAATATTGGATAAATTACCGAAAAATCTTAGTAGATGAATTTAATTCTTATCAATTTATATTAAAAATAAGTTTTAGTACAATCATTACTATAATTTTTTATGACGATTTTATATATGTCGTTAAAATTTAAAAATTAAAAATTAGTGATTTTTTTCACAATTTTTATAAATTGTCACTAAAATGTATAATTAGTAACAATTTTACGTGACGAATTTTTTAAATTGTTGCTGAAAGTTGAAAATTAGTGATTTTTTTGTGACGATTTTTTAAATTGCTGCTATAACTTAAGCTTAGTGACTTTTTTTGTGACAATTTTCAAACTGCCATTGAAAATTAATAATTAGTAACTTTTTTTTAATAGTATATGATGAAAATGTCATTATTTATCATTGGACTTATTGGACACTAAGTTTACTTAGTTGGACTTACATATAAGTGCCCCAAAAATATATCAGGAGAAGTTTCAAGAGATCTTCAGAAATAATCTATTGTGATAGGCAATAAAAAATAAAAAATAAATTATAAATATATCTCTTGAGATTTGTTTAAAATATTTGTCTCTGAAATTTTAGAAATTACATTCATAGGACTTATTGGACACTAAGTTTACTTAGTGAGACTTACATATAAGTGCCCCAAAAATATATCAGGAGAAGTTTCAAGAGATCTTCAGAAATAATCTATTGTGATAGGCAATAAAAAATAAAAAATAAATTATAAATATATCTCTTGAGATTTGTTTAAAATATTTGTCTCTGAAATTTTAGAAATTACATTTCGTTCCTTTAAGTTTCTAATTTCATAACAAATTACCCTTTTTATAAATAAATCATCAAGTCAGTTAACCATTTTTAATGATATTAGAAATTTATTTCAATTAATAATTTAGGTAATTTTATCATTGTATAAGAGAACAGTTAGGAATTTTATTTTATTAATTAGTTCTATTAAATAAAAAATTCTGACAAAGAGATTTTTATAATTTTCTAAATCACAGATGGCAATTCGTTCTTTGAACAAATCTCAAGGGGTGTGTTTGTAATTTACCCTAAAATATATATATATATATATATATAAAGAAGAAGTTAAGCCCTTTAAGTTTTTAAATTTTATAAAAATAACCCTAAGTTATTTAAAGGGGTATTTTTTTTAGGATCCCTGGTATTAAGATTTTATAAGATAAAGGACATCTAATATTTTCATAATGTCTAAGGTTCCTCAATTTGATCTAGAGAAATTCTGCTCCAGAGAAATTCTGGTCCAGAGAAATTCTGTCCAGAGAAATTTCAACCCAGAGAAATTTCCATCCAGAGAAATTTCCATCTAGATAAATTTCAAACAAGAGAAATTTCAAATTTCTCTGGTTTGTCCAACTTTTTTGATTTTTTATGTTTTGAAATTTCTCTAGGGTTGAATTTTCTCTAATTTTCTCACAAATAACTCTGTGATTTGCTGCTTTGCTTGCCTTCACTCTTGGTGTCAAGCAAATTATGAGAATTTCTCTGGCCTTTTCCAGAGAAATTATCATCTAGACTAGATGATAATTTCTCTGGAGAGAATGAGAGATGAAATCGAACAATCTGTTCTTTGAACAAATCTCAAGGGGTGTGTTTGTAATTTACCCTAATATATATATATATATATATATATATAAAGAAGAAGTTAAGCCCTTTAGGTTTTTAAATTTTATAAAAATAACCATAATTTATTTATAGGGTTTTTTTTTAGGGTCCCTGGTATTAAGACTTTATAGTATAAAAGACATCTAATATTTTCATAATGTCTAAGGTCCCTCAATTTGATCCAAAGAAATTCTGCTCCAGAGAAATTCTGTCCAGAAAAATTTCAACCCAAAGAAATTTCGATCTAGAGAAATTTCAAACCAGAGAAATTTCAAGCCAGAGAATTCTCTGGTTTGTTTAATTTTTTTTATTTTCTATATTTTGAAATTTCTCTAGGGTTGAATTTTCTCTAATTTTCTCACAAATAACTCTGTGTTTTGCTGCTTTGCTTGCCTTCACTCTTGGTGTCAAGCAAATTATGAAAATTTCTCTGTCATTTTTCAGAGAAATTCCCGAATTTCTCTAGATGAGAATTTCTCTGGAGAGAATGAGAGATGAAATCGAACAACATCAATATTGCTCTCATTCTCAAACTTATTATACTATCTGAGACACTCAAATAGTATAAATTTAGTTGTCTTATCATGCTCTATGATTGGTACCATGCAACTTAGTGAATGTGATTACATTACATATAATAAAACACACCAAAAACTAGTACAATGATGGAGAATGTTCATGACCATCTCCCTGAAAAGTTTTTCTCTGTTTATTTAATTTTTAAAGAATGTCGAGTAGAATATACCTGTTAAAAATTAAGTTGATTAGACATCAATAGTCTCTTCATCAACTGTATTTGTATTCAGTTTAATACTTACATATTTATTTTGTATATATACAAATGAAGAAGCTATTGATATCCAATCGACTTGATTTTTCGCATGCATATTCTATTCAATATTTCTTAAAAATGCATGATTTAAATCATCAAAATAGAAATTGAAGTGACTCCCATAAGCCACACAACAATCACTATTATGCAAGCTGCACAATAGTTCCTTCAATATTTAATTTAAAGAGCACAATTCAAAAATTAGTCATTATGGTATTTTGAGATATTTGTTTCGAGTGTTAGATGATGGCTGACCCAAAAAAAAAAAACAGGTGCTGGAGAGTATTTACTTCCCTAAAGTTTAGCTAAATGCTACTTTTGTATGTATATAATCTTTCAATTGGATTTTACTTTCAGGGTAAAACGAAATAGTTCATGGTATATTATGGCGCATTTGACAAGAGGACTGATATGGATTATCAAATAAATTTTATTGATTTTACTTTTACATATTATGTGAATATACACAATAAACGTCATGTTTGAATATGAAATTGTGACAATTGCTAAAAAGTGCTAACTTCACAAAATAATTGTAAATTGATAAAAGTACAAACAGTTTATATATTAAATTGGTACAAGTAACACTTGTACTTTCATAGATTTTTTTTTATCAGCGAAAAAAACTTTATTGAATAAGAACCAAGAAGGAAACCTTACATCTTACATCAATGAAGAAAAAACAAGGATGGCACAAGAAAGCCACCCAAAAGAGTGCTAACACATGCCAAGGGCTAGTTGATAAGAGTTCAACCAGCAAAACAAAGACACAACATCACACAACAGCAGTAGCAGATCCAACTAATGGACACACAAAAATCACACCAACACATGTACATCAAGTGTACTTTCATCACTTGATTGTTATTCTAAGTTGTTATCACTTTTTTGCAATTGCTTCTATAAAATTCACAGTATTTTCAAAAACATATCTTGAAAATTCAATCAAATAGAGTGTTTGATTTGGAATTTTCAAAAATTATTTTTTCAGTTTTCAATATTATTATTATTATTATTATTATTATTATTATTATTATTTTAAGAACTACTTAGATACCTTAAAACATACAAAATCTGTAATAAAAAAAGTCTTGAAAAAAAGTCACTAAATACAAATATATATATATATATATAAATTTAATATATTTTCGTATTTTTCATATTTATTTATTTTTTAAATATTTCTTCATAAATATCTTACCTTTTAAATGTATCTAGATTAAGTGGATTTAAGAAAAATTGATTAAAATATAAAAAAAGTACACAAACAAAATTACGGATTGAAACTTAAAAAAATCTTTTTGAAAACTCAAAATCAAACAGATTTTCTATAGTTTGTGCAAATTTAATCTAATTTTATTAGTTGTGATAATTAAGTTAAGATTTTGTTAATGGTTAAAAAGAAATTTTGAGCCTTTGTTTACTTTGTCAAACTTCTTCATAAACAAAAAGCAATCAACGTGAAGACTGGGTGGGAGGGAAGAGCTATGCGGTAGGATAAAAGAAAACGTTTACTGGCAAAATGTAACGTGTTCATTATTCATTGGTTGCCCGTAAACTAGAGGGTTTACTAGTAAGCCGTATGGAATTTAATCTCATGGCAATCTTTGCCTATAAAAACCTAAGCCCTTGCAAAATTTTAGTAAGTGTGCCCACAAATACATTCACTCACACCATGGCTTCTACTAACCATTTCCAATGCGTTTTCTTGGCCTTTCTCTTTGTCTTGGGAGTTTTGTCCTCTCAAGCTTCCTCTCGCATTCTCAACCAAGAAACCATGCTAGAAATGCACGAGCAATGGATGACACGCCATGGACGTGTTTACAAGGATACCGAAGAGAAGAATGCACGGTTTCAGGTATTCAAGGACAATCTCCAACATATAAATGCCTTTAATGAAGGTGTAGACCGAGGATACAAGCTTGGTGTGAATAAATTTGCAGACCTGACCAATGAGGAGTTTCGTGCTTCTCATACTGGTTACAAGAGGCAGCCAACCAAAGAGACATTTGTCTCAAAACCAACATCTTTTAGGTATGTAAATCTAACTGATGCGCCAACAACCGTCGACTGGAGAAACCAAGGTGCAGTTACTCCCATCAAGGACCAAAGCCAATGTGGTAAGCATTACATGATATGTTTCTACATCTATATTTTATATCAATCAATAATCTCTTCGTTGGTCTCTCACAACTAGGAAGTTGGAGCTTTTTAGCTCCAAACTCCTCTTTATTGATATAATTTTCATCCTTTTGTACATGTTTATAATCAATAAAGTTTTTTCTTTTGCCGATAAAAAAAATAAAAAAAATAAAATTTAAAATAGTGGTGTATATCGATTATGGTTGTCAGAAGTATCAACTAGTACACATAAAGAATTGAGTCATGTAGTCGTAAATATTTTAAAATCATTAGTTACCAAAAAAAATAATAAATGAAGAGAGTTTTATAGCGGTCGAAGCACCTACATCGACTATACTCGAGTCATGAATTTGCTCTAAATCGATACATACCATGAACTAGTTGATATCCATACCATTTTCATTCCAATGGTATATCATAGTGTATCGTTATTGAAACGACAAAAAATCGATAAATAATCACTACAAAAAATTAAGATTAAGATTTCAAAAAATCGTTTTGAGACATTTGTCTCAAAACCAACATCTTTTAGGTATGTAAATCTAACTGATGCGCCAACAACCGTCGACTGGAGAAACCAAGGTGCAGTTACTCCCATCAAGGACCAAAGCCAATGTGGTAAGCATTACATGATATGTTTCTACATCTATATTTTATATCAATTAATAATTTCTTCGTTAGTCTCTCACCAACTAGGAGGTTGGAGCTTTTTAGCTCCAAGCTCCTCTTTATTGATGTAATTTTCATCCTTTGTATGTGTTTATCATCAATAAAGTCTTTTCTTTTGCCGATCAATAAATAAATAAATAAAATTTAATATAGTGGTGTATATCGATTATGGCTGTCAGAAGTATCCACTTGTATACAGAAAGAATTGAGTCATGTAGTCGTGAATATTTTAAAATCATTAGCTACCAAAAAAATAATAATAAATTAAGAGAGCTTTATAACGGTCGAAGCACCTATAGTCATGAATTTGCTCTAAATCGATGCATACCATGAACTAGTTGATATCCATACCATTTTCATTCCAATGGTATATCATAGTGTATCGTTATTAAAAGAACAAAAAATTGATAAATAATCACTACAGAAAATTAAGGTTTTAGAGACCAAAATTTAGGGACAAAATTATTTTTCAAAAACCAAATATTTTTCTTGTGAAAAGTGCCGTTATTATATTTTTAGCAACAAAAATTAGATTTTAGTGATGAATTATTTTTTTTTTTTTGGACCAAATTTTTTGTCTCCAAAAATAAACCAAACTAAATTTTTTTGTCCCTAAAAGTCTATTTATTAGTGACATTTTCAAAATTGCTAAAAGCCTTGTTTTGAACTTTTCGGGACGACCTTTTAGTAACTATCCTCGTGACGACAGAAATTCGTCCCTATATGTCTTTTGCAACAAAATTTTCACTTTTAGAAATCAAAACATTTGGTTTCTAAAACTCTTATTTCCTGAGTGAATGGTCGGTAATTAAAGCCATTATATCAATAATTAATATTAAACCAAGCATATTATTCTCATGCTTTTTTGTAAAATAATCGCAACCCACTTGATTATATATCCTTTTCTAATTATTAACTGCTTTTTTTTTGGGTGGTTATCATTATGTATAGGATGTTGTTGGGCATTTTCAGCAGTGGCAGCTGTGGAAGGTATTAACCAAATTACAACCAGTAACCTATTATCACTCTCTGAGCAAGAGCTCGTTGATTGTAATACTGATAACGGTGGTTGTGGTGGCGGCTTTATGGATACTGCCTTTCAATTCATCCAAAACAATGGTCTCACATCAGAAGATAATTACCCTTACATTGCACAAGATAACACTTGTGACAGCACCAAAGCAGCAACCACTGTAGTCCAGATAACTGGGTACGAAGATGTGCCACCTAGTAATGAGCAGGCTCTTCTGCAAGCTGTGGCCCGCCAACCAGTTTCTGTTGCCATTGAAGGTGGTGGACAGAACTTTCATTTTTACCAAAGTGGCGTCTTCTCTGGGCCGTGTGGAACCAAACTTGACCATGCTGTCACTATAATTGGATATGGAACTACTACTGATGGGACTAACTATTGGTTGGTTAAGAATTCATGGGGCTCTAGTTGGGGTGAGAATGGATATATGAAGATCGACAGAGATGCTGTTGCGGAAGGTCGATGTGGCATTGCCCTGAAAGCTTCTTATCCAACTATGTGAAAGAACGAGGATGGTTGTGTCGTATTTAGCTTGTTGAGCATATAAAATATAAATAATAAAGTTATTGCTTTTTCTCTGTAATAGTTTATACTATTAGATGAGTTGGCGGGAAACGTTTTAATTATGATATTTAGAATAGAAAATAGACTTTCTATTTAAACCTCGCAGTTTATCCGATGAGGCTGGTTGAGCATATGATATAAATAACAAAGTTATCTCTGTCTCTAAATGTCAAATCTTTTAGATGAGTTGGGTAAATAACAATTTCATAATTTTTTGTCTAAACTTTATGTAGTTTGGATACATGCACACATACATACACACACATATATGTACATTTTATGTTTGCGTATTTTTGAAAATTGACTATTTTTGTTGATTTTTTAGTTTTCTACTAAATGACATGCAAAAAAATAGAGAAAATAGTATTTTTTTTCTTTCTCTTTTCTTTTTTTTTTTTTTTTTTTAGTGAATTTTTAACTATTTTAATCGGATTGTGATCTTCTCCATTCTAAAGTTATAATGGATGATCACCATTACGGAATGGAGAGGACAGTCCATTTGAAGGACAGGCCATTTGAAGGGCATGACTTTTCTCAATACTCTTATGTTTCATATATTTTCATTTTTTTTTTTTTTTTAGCTCCATTCTAGGCTCACAGTGATAATCTAAACTATTTATCTTATAAATTTCACAACGAAAACCGTTTATGCAAAAAACAAATAAGACATGACGTTGAATATATTGACTAAGTTTTTGTTTTTATTAATTAATTTATTTTTTTGTAGTCAGATGATATTTTCATTAAAGTAAGGAAGCCAAACGGCACTTACAAAGAGATCAAATCAGTACACAGCTTACACCAAAATAAGAAAAATCATAGTTCAAAAACAAAGAAAAAATCATGAAATGATGCACAAAGGAGAAACTATATATATATTAAGATCAAACCCGCAAACGTTTATAATACTTTTACAAAAATTATAATAAAATTTTAAATTAAAATAAGACGTTAGTAATATTTTTGTAATTAAATATTATTTAACGAGCGTTATTTAAAATGATAAATCTTAATGTAGTTACAAAATTTTATATTTTTTAAAAAAAATGGTATTAAATCTAAAGAAGGAAGCACATGGGACATTAAGGTCAGTGGCAGATTCTTTGAAGCAAAATAGAATTTTTTTATTTTTGGGTACTTTTTGGGTGAAAAAGACATTTGTGATAGTTTTATCTTTATATATATTTTTTATTTGTTGTTTATCTCTCTATTCTTAAACATCATTGCAAATCATTACTGAAAAAAGTTGCTGACGGTGACAGTGAACAGATAAGTGACATATGGATATATTAGTAGACCGATAAATAACACATGGACAAATAAGCGGGCATGGGGATAGATATATGAACAGATTGACATATGAGTAGAGATAATATGATCTTTCAATTTATTTTTGTTCTTATGGTCTCAAAAGAATAGATTTTGAAATATTAGTCGTACAAATTTTAAAATTGAACCTTTAACCTGAGTATCCTTTTCTATTTATATATCAATATTGATTAGAAAAATTAATAAACCAAGGTTTGAAGGATACAATATTAAGTGAGCATCAAGCCTTGGAAAAATGAGTCATTAGAATTATTAGATGAATTAACAATGTGAGAACCTTATAAAATAAATTATTCAAATTATTAAAATTGAACTCGTGATGGGCCCGATTAACCTCCTAAGTTTTCTTAAATTCAAATAAAAACTCTACCCGTAATTTTAAATTTACATGATACATATCACGACGCAAACTCGCCCCTATAGATTTAGAGTCATGACCGGCCAGTAATTTTAAATTACTTTCAGCCTCAAAGACAAAATTTCAAAATATTTAAAATCATATCGAGGCTTAAAGCGGAAACAAAACAAAAATAATGATGTCCATTGAGCTTATACCTACATGATACAAGCATAATTTATATACATGTACAAATCTTATATATCTCACACATACATACATTTAAGACTCAGCAAAATACCAAACTTTGACAAAGCTAAGGGGCTGATTTTCTTGGCTCTACTCAAGCCTAATTTGTTCCATTCCGGAAACCATTCAAAAGGATGACACGCGTAGACTCTGAGACTTTCTCTATCCTTGTTGTTCATTTTGCTCACCTACATATATATTGTTAGGTTTTTATTCTTGGCAATCTCGTTTGACAAAACTCCTTTCAATTGTACTTGTTTGCGCACTTTTATTTCAGTGAGGCAATGAGTTTCTTAGATGCAAATACGACCCGAATTGTGCCGTGCAGAGAAGTTTGTGATGTTAATTCTTACAAGATTGCCACTTCGCGGACTATGACAGGGATCGAGCTTCCCAGTCAACTCGCCGGGGTCCAGGAGGCAACGCTCTTTGGCGGGTTTGGGGCAGCGCCCCCGAAGCAAAATGCAAAATTGTATTCAAAGTTGCATGTCCGCCTTTGCTCGCTCGAGTGGAGGAGCTTTCGCTCGAGCGAAGGCTGCGTCTGGCAAAAACCCTGAGAATGATGAATGTACACTCGAGTAAAGGTTGTGTGGCTTAAGCGAAACCACTTATGGAAAAACACGCGAGATTAGTTCCTTGCTCGAGCGAGCTTCGCAGTCCCAGTTTTCTATAAGTACGTGTTTCTATCAAATTTTAGGATTACTGCTCCAGATCTTCTTTTTGGATATTAAGGTTTATATCTGGGGATATTTTGCTAGTTTTTTTTTATGTTTAATTGAGTATTCAACTCACGGGTTAAGAAGAATACATCAAAGGTTTGTTTGTTCCTTCTATACAAAAGAGAGAGTTGTTTTTCGGTGGATTCTGAAGAATTTGAGCCTGAAGCTTTGGTGGATTCTGGAGTGGCTCATAGTTAAGACAATTCTGAGGTGAAGACGGGGTTGGAAGAGACACATAGGGGTTGGTTCAATTTGGGCATGGATTCGCTAGGTAATTAAGAGTATACCTGTGTAATTCCTTTATGTCTTTTTAGTGGATTGTTTTGTGACTTTTGCCCGTGATTTTTTTATCACAATTGGAGGTGTCCAATTGTGATTTTTTCACGTAAAATCGTTGTGTCGATTTGTCTTGATTGTTTGATTGGAATTGTTGTTTACTGTTTAAAATTGATACATAATCACAAATCAACATCTAGGGGATTTCTAGATTTTATATATATATATAAATAGTGAGTTAAAACCCAACGAGTAATAATAGTATAAAGAGGTTAAGTGAATAAAGTTTGACCACATGTCTTACAAATTTGAAATGAATCTTAAATCATTTTCAAAGTGAGGCATTTGCCACATTATATCAAATTCATAAGAAAACATTTTTCATGTTGAATCCCATATCAAAACATATCTTTTAATTTTCGAAGCAATCCAGTTTAATAGGCTGAACATTTTGTTTAGCAATCATATCATCTCTTTACAATAACAAAAGTCATTCATATCATTATATGTGGTACATCCACGAAACATTAATATTCCAATAACAATGGACCACGAAGGGTCAAACCAATGGACCACGAAGGATCAATTACTAGAGATCTCTGTGTTTCAATCAATCCAATAGACATTGTATTGTTACCTTTAGGCATGGGCCTATGATCAAAGGATGCTACAATACAGTTTCAAAAGTGAACTTCATTCATCGATAGGAAATAACATTTTAATAACTCATTCAATCGATCACATATTGATTTCAAGAACAATACCAATTTCAAAAACAAGTATTACTTGAACATATCTTTATAAAGTCACTACTCACAGTGGATTATGTTGTTATTAGGCCCCAAACGTCTACTTATACAAAAACACATAACAAATACCCAATTGAAGTACCATTCAATATCAATTTTATTTTAATTCAATTCTTTTTATGTGTTTCTACCTTATTCCATGACTATATGAGTCCAATTAGTGCCTAAGAATACTTAGAATGTCATGAGGATGCAAGTAGGCAGTTAGAAGAGTTATTCAAAAATTGCTGAAAACAAGGTTTTCGCTCGAGTGCATCTTTGGTCGCTCGAGCGGTTTGCAAAGCTCTGTAAAAATGCTGGATGATCTCAATGTTCACTTAAGAGGTGACTTTTCCACTCGTGCTATCTGCAAATTTTCTGTGTTTTTGAATACCAACAAAATTAATTTCCAAACAATGTAAACATGTAATTTTATTAGTAAAGTTGAACCCATGACTAATTTTCCACTTTCTAATACAAAAATCTCTTTGATAATTAAGATTAAAACCAATAATTTTATGAATATAATAACTTCAACATTTTTTTTCTTTTGTGTTATAAAACATAAAATTAGAGCTATAAAGCTCTTTAAAAGAAATATTTGCATATATAAAATTCAAATCAAAGTCAAACTAATAATTTTCATTCTCAAGTATAAATTGTAATTTATTTCCAAATTTGTCCAAATTTAGATTTAATTCATTTTTTTTATATCAAACCCAAAAATTTTAAAATATGAATTAAACTTTCAAAACTCTTGAAAATTTCATGATGTATGTAAAAATGGAATCCAATTTCATCATTAATAACAAAAATCGAACTTAAGTAATGAATTACAAGATCAATTTCTTAGAATTTCAACTTAACTCAATTTTTAACCAAAAACTTAATTTATGATCGAAGAAGTTCCAAAATGTGTTTAAATTGAATAAAACTTTTAAATTAAATTACATGCATGAATTAAAAATCAAAATCAAACAAATTCCTAATTTTCATAATAAAATCAAAACTTTGTCTAACTTTATGATTAACTCCAAATTTCCATAAACTTGATTTTTATAAAGCTTTTCCTTTTTCTCTTCAAAACATGAAATTGAATTAATTCAAAATTTTCAAAATCAATGATGCATGTGTAATTAAAGCATTAATTTGCTCATCCATTTAACATTGAGGCTCATTTTCATGCAAGATCACAATATCAAACCCAAAATAATTAATTTTCATAACCAGGAACCTAACTTGATCCCTTCATCTTTGTTTTCTAATTTCTTCCAATTTATATGAAATTGAACCCAAACTCATCTTTAATTTCAAGTGTAACACAAGGATTCTACAAAATGAAGTGCAAATTTCATACCTTAAACTTTAATTTCAGCATATTTGGTTGATTTTCCTCTACTTCCTCTTTTCTTTTCTTCATTTCTTTCTTCAATACATAGCTTTTTCCTTGAACTCTTCTCCATTTCCAA